TCTTCTTTTCATTTAAATTTGAGTGAAAATTTGATTAAATCAATCCGTACTCTTTTTAAAAAAAATTATCAAATTCGAGTAATAATATTGACTGTTGAAATAATTGGTTGAGGATTAGACGTGCTCTTAATCGTGGCAGGTCATTGTTTGTTGATTGGAATGGAGTGAATTAGTTGTGGCAATATGTGATTCTTAATTACTGATGGAGAAATATAACTGTTAATTAGGTGTGGAAAATCGTTGCTTGTTGAGTAACTGTGTGGATTAGAATGTGTCACAACAACTAGTTGTTCCTTGTTCCTCATAGAACAAATCAGATGACACACAGACTAGATGATTAAAAATGCTTCACTTCTTACTAGCAATGTTTTTTCATGCAGCACATAATAGAAATAGTTAGTGATAGCATCCACAAAAACATTGACTGTAAAGTATTTTGTGATTTATAAATGAAACTTTAGATCATGACTCTATGAGGATTTATTGTGGACAGAATTCAGAGCTGGCTGTGTATAGTTGTACTTAGTATGAAAAGAGAGATTTTTGTGTTATAATTGCTGTCCTCTTAAGAACCATCTGTGATGTTTCTAGTGAATGTTTCGGTAATGCCGGCGTCGCAACAGAAAATCACAATACCAAACAAGTTTGGCGAAAAACTTGTTGGTATACTACATGAAACTGGATCTGTGGAGATTGTGATATTGTGCCATGGTTTTCGATCCACAAAGGTCAGTAATCATGATACTGGAACTTGAAGCTGGATTTTGCTGTCTAGTGTGGTTATGATGCATAACGGTAATTATGATGTTGAGGCTTTATTTGTGTTTTAGTATGTTTGTAGTGCATGTACTCTACTAGTAAATGCTATTTTTTCCCTCTATCAAAATGGTAATTATGATGTTGAGGCTTTATTTGTGTTTTAGTATGTTTGTAGTGCATCTACTCTACTATTAAATGTTATTTTTTCCCTCTATCAAATCAATCAAAGACATAGTAAGGCAAGTAGACAACAAAAGTTATTCTAACCTCCTGAGATTGGCAAATTGTGTTGTATTATATGTTAGAAACTTAGAAAGCAAAGTGTTCCTGTGTAATGTTGTAGAATGCAGATCATATTGATTAGGTCTTTTTAAAAATTGAACTTATAAATATTTGATGCATATAGGTGTTCTCATTGCTGTTTATCCTGTAAAATAGCTTGGTGGGAGCAATATTTATTCTTTCTTTAGCTTGTATTATTCTTGTGTCACCTTAGGGAGTTATCAATTGTTGTAAATCTGCTACTTGCTCCAGTTTAAGAAGCTTCATAATAACAGAGAAGTAATATGAACCTGCCTGTGTTGCAATAAAGTGGGACTCATTTTCTCTTTTTTGGGTGAGCAAATGAGGTTTTTTTTTTTTGCACTGGTTTCTTCTAGTGCATACTATTAGTGGTAAATTAATCAAGTCAGTTAAGAGTTGAGAAATGATAGAAAGCCTTTAAAAATGTGCCGCACTCAATTTAGCCATTTACTGTTTTGGAAGATCTTGAAATAGCCAAATATAAGTCATGCTATTTTGAGAATATTTTCTTCAAACTACTTTTCCATTGATAGCTTACATAAGGTCATTCTTGGACTATCTGATGTTTTTTGCTGATTGTGGGAATGATCTTATAGCTCATGTTTCTGCTCCAGGAACGGGACATTATGGTGAACGTTGTTGTTGCTTTAGAAAAAGAAGGAATCACTGCCTTCCGCTTTGACTTTGCTGGAAATGGGTAAGCTTGTAAATGAAAGGGTGCAAAAACTGACTTGGAATTATTTTTGGTATGTAACAGGTATTATTAAGTGGTTGGTGGTTTGATAGATTGACGCTCATTTGGTGGGTTCACTCACATCGTTTCTTTTTAACTTGGACTTGGCCTTCTTATTTGCTAAGTTATAGTTTTTCACTTGTTTTTAACTCAGTACTTTTTTTTCTTTTCCCTAGTGGAATTATCTTATAGTGCTAAAAAATTGCCACCTCCGTAATATTAGGAGTCTGTGCAATGCAGTTATGTAGATGTATGCCGTATCATTCACTAATAACTTTTAACTTGCTTTTTTTAATCATGGACCCACTTTAATAGAATCTTGGCCTAATAACCTTTAGGTTATGGGTTCAAGGCATAGGGCAACCACTCTGTGCATTATGTCAAAGGTTAGGTGTGTAGCCAATCTTTCCCCTCGCAAACACACATTTATGTGTACTAATTGAGCGTTGTTTTTTGCCCACTTTAATAGAACTATCATTTCTTGTGTAGACACACAGGTCCTTCAATTGTCATAAAAAATCCAAATTCTAGGACTGGAAGCTCTCCCAATGTGTGCTTGAGCAGGCCTACGGATCTCTGAATCTTTTCACAACTTGGCTTTGGAATTAAGGAGTTGATGTTTTTCTATCTGATACACAAAGACATAAAAACAAGAGTCCCTTAGCGACTTTTTGTACATGTATATACAGAAGAAGAATCTTATGTTGATGAGCTTTAATTTGTGGAAACCCTCCTTTGATTGTTTTGATAAAAATTACATACAGATCATAAGCACTTGGATTACTTTTAATGCATTGGTAATTCCTGGCAACTAGCCAATTGTGATCGTAGTCACAAGGAGTGAACATGTAGACAAAATTATGTTGATAGTAGTAGTGTTAGAGCCACAAGTGGAGTTTGAACTTTCGAGCTTGAAGGGGAAGGTGTCAAGGCTAACGCATCTAGGGTAGGGATGTAAGTTGTTTGCCTAAGCATTTGTATTATACTTTTGATCTAGTGGATTTTGACTAGCAGCTGCTCGTGGGGGTTTTTATTTTATTTTTTATTTTTTTACCAAGGAGATTGTTGTTCTTCCTAAGTATTTTTTTTCTTCCCATTTATATTGAAATTCCCAATGAATGGAAACTATGGATTTGCTAGATGATCCAAACAACTTGTAATGTCCCAGCTTTTATTACCCAAATTCATTACCAAATCCTTTATATTATTACTAATTTGAAAATATCAAACACAAGCCAACAAAATTATAAGTACATAATAACATTCACTCTCGATGTGATGATGGCATATAGATAAAATCTGGTACAAAGTCCTTAAGCTTACATCGAATAACAATAAATAAAAGGGATCTACCCTTATATAATGTGTGGCGTTCAACCAACAAATAAAAGGCCCCGTAGCCAAACATAACAAAAGACCTCAAGTCCTGAACAATCTTCTAGTCATGCACCTAAAAAATTTGTCAATATGTGGGATGAGCACAATGCCCCATAGAGATTCCAAAGATCCTAACCAATCACAACATATAGTTAGATATGATCATGCATGCACAACCTACCGTATAAGTAATGTGACGGTTTATATCCAAAAGTGTACTTATATAAATATATTTTTCCCCAAAAATTATCTTTTTAACACAACACAATAGAAAATAACTTGTCTTTCTAACTTCCTTTTCACTTCAGAACATTGCAAAACCTCGCTTTCTTTTAATAAAAACCTTCCATGTTGACATAAAAGAATTCCATTTAAACATTAGTTTTGAAAACACGTTCACACATACTGGATATGTACTAGTCATAACCCGACCCCACATGCCAATACACTATATGCATCTACAATACATCTACCACCTTTCCTGGCCATTGGTCCAAGGGCAAGGGACACCCACAATATGAAACTGAGAAACACATACATCCCAAAAAAAAATAGCTGAGAGTAATACATACTTCCAATTCCATTTCCATGGGCATACAACATAGATGGTAAATGTTACAACCTAAATAACACAACCCTTTACCGACCTCACCCAGAGGGGAACGACCCCAAGGTCACACTTTACCGGACGTAGGGGTGTGCATAATACCGCCGAAACCGCACCGAACCGCACCGCTAAGGCAAATTCGTTATTATTTGCCAATCGAACCGCCGGTTTTTGGTAAGAAAAATGGCAAATTCTAGTGACACTTTTGTCAATCCGCCGGTTTCTATTTTTCTTCCAAATCGCACCGACCCGCACCGCTATTAAATCATGTTTTATAAGATTCTAAAGTTTTTTTTTAACTTAAGTTTGCTTGTTATTCTATACCTTAAAATATAGTATTACATTACTGCTCAAGGGGAATTCAAGATGTCAGTAATCCAAAATAAAGTTGGATTCCAATTCACTTTTCAATCTTTTTTTTTTTGGTCATGTTGCAAACTTGCACCAGCTCACTTTTCAATCTAAATACTTTTCAACAGTAAACATTTTCAATATATTGTAAACCTTGAATGATAGGAGAGGAAAGATGATTGTACTCTCATCAGTCCTCTCCATATCAGTGGTGTTGTCTGCCGCGAGTGACAGATGGACGTCGTCGGGGATGGAATAATGGCGTCGAAAGCCAGAAATTCGATCAGAAGAAATGAGTTCTTTCAAATATTTTGCCATCCTAGTCATCCTATGGAATATGCAAAACTAAAAGTAAACGAGGAAATGGGATTCGAAGTGAAAGAGAAGAAAACTTACAAGAGGCAGAAGGGATAATAAGAAACAAGAAGAAGTTGCAAAGGTCGCAAAATGGAGGTATATCGAAAGGCAAACCAGAAGCTTCAAGTATTCAAAAGAAACTTACATTCAAAGGGACAACATAGTTTCAAATCGCATTAAATGAAGAAAGCGTACGAAGAGGCAGGAAGATGTAATAATGTATAAAAAGCGTGTGCTCTGACATACGTTGGGATGAGGTTAGCCGTCGTTCCTTCCTTGACTTTTCAAATTCGAAATCAAACATGCCGTTCGAAACCAAACATGCCAACTAACTGGCGTTAATAGGATGTTTGGGAGGTAATTGTGGGAGCCGAATATTGTGGGGGCAATAATGCCGAATAACGATATGAGGACAGTCAAGGATGGAATTTGTATTCGACTTCATCGTATACGATCACAGGGCCGAATAGATTAATCATCATTCCAACTAGCAGAACAAGAGCCGAATAAATAGACATGCAATGGATCAAGGGTGGGCCCGACCCTAAGGCCCAAGGGAAAGAATATAAATAGAGGAACATCAGCCAAAGAGAGGTATGTGAGAACAAAGAAGTTTAACTTAAGATATGAGCAACCAAAAGAGTATACGCTGACTTATCTGTCGGAGTGCTAATTCCGGTACCCCCGACCGGAGTGTTCATTCCTTTTCAGGTGACTAGCTGAGGATCTCGAGCGTCCCATTGGATCCAAAGAGTATTTCCAAACCACTTTCCCACAATTGGCGCCGTCTGTGGGAATACTCTAGCACATCCATAGTGGGCGTGACGGAAGATCCTCTAGTAGTCGCTGACGACCTTACACCACGAGTTGATACCACTCCAAGCAACCTGCTTGGACTAGAAGACATTACCGCATGAAGAGCCTTGAACTTCAACTCAGCTGCCCAGACCTCACCTTCGACATCAGCACATGAGACAATGCAAGCAATTTGGATCAGGGGAAGCAAAACGAACAGAGGTTGGAAAACATGATGGCAGAGAACGAGCGTCTTCAACAGGATTTGGCCTTGGAGGTGGCAAAATCCCAACAAGCCGCGCGCCAAGATCCGGAACGACCTGTGAGAAAGGATGGTCGACGACCTCGAATTCAGAAACAAGATAGTGGCAGTGATTCTGACTCGTCATCCCCAGAATCCAAAACGAAGGGACGAGTCGAAGTCTCCAGTTCTTTTGAAGGGAGTCCGCATGCAAGGACTAAACGAAAAAGAAATGATTCAGGCGAAGAGGATCAACATAACCCCTTTGTGCGACAGATCGCAAGGGCGGTACTACCCAAAAAGTTCAAAGCTCCATCATTCACCCTATATGATGGAAAATCAGACCCCACCGGTTACAGCCGTCATTACAAGCAAGCCATGACACTACATGCAGACGACGAGGCCCTCATGTGTCGAATATTTCCCAGCAGTTTGGGATCATTGGCCGTCAGATGGTATTATAAATTGGAACCGGCATCAATTAAGAGCTTCCATCAACTCCAAAAATTCTTCAAGGCAAGGTTTATCACCAATGAGGTCTAGCTAAAGCAGGCTGATTCTCTCTGGGCAATGCAAATTTAACCAGGGGAAACCCTACGTGCTTATTCGGCGCGTTATTGGGAATGCTTTAATCTCGTAGATGATCTCTACAATGACTCCATGGCCATCACTGCCTTTAAAATGGGGTTGCATCCTGATTGTGTCCTCCGCAGTTCCTTGACCAGAAGGCCCCCTAAAATAGTCTGGTCGTTAATGAAGAAAGTCGAGGAATAATGCAAAGTAGAAGATGACGCCTTGCGGGTCAAAGCTGGGCACAATGCCAACAAGATGGCCCCATCTGAAATCGTTCAGCCGATAAATTATGTACCATCACGGAGCCCTGAACCATGAAATCGGGCTAAACGAGACAAAAGACGAGATTCAGACTGATCAAATGACCAATGTTCCCACCGGGCTAATGAACAACTTCAAGTGGATAGCAGGCGCACAAGGCGCGCGGACAAGAAATGTACGGAATTGTCAAAGCCGATCAGCACGGTCATGTCTAAGGTTCAACACCTTCCGTTTTTCAAATGGCCACTCAAAATGATGGGACCTCCCGACACGAGGAGACGGGATAGACGGTGCGAATATCACAAGGACCACGGTCATGATACTGACAATTGCTATGCGTTGAGGAGTTGGTGCAGGACGGTCGGCTTCAACAACACGTCCGAAAGAACAACCCAACCAAAA